TCTAGCATTCCATATTTTTTTTCAAAAGTGGTTACATACTTTTTTCTGCATTTTCATTATCTATCTTGCCTCTTTTCTAATTCTTTTACTACAACACTTCAAATTGGTTATGCTTATAATTGAATTTTCCTTTATTAATTTTATACAGAAGCTGAATGTATTCTGATTAGTTTTTGAGATTCTTCCACTAGTTTTATTATCTGTTTATCAATCTCTTTTATTTCTATTCTATCATCTATTATTAAGTTTAACTCTTTCTCTTCTAATTTTTTTTTCTATCTTTCAAGAGTTTTTTGAATCCTTTTAACACTTTTTCTATTTCTTTTTGCTATACTTTGTTCTATTAAGTTTTGTAAGTTAAGCATTCTAGCAAGTGTTCTATCCTTTTCTCTTTCTGATCATATATAATTAAAGATTGGTCCCTAAAGGGGGAGTCAGAAACAAAAGCCAAATGTCCCTCACTAGAAAACTTTAAAATTTTTAAATTAATAACTATAAAAAAACTATTCACAATTGTTCTTCATTATCCAAATCATTGATTTATATTATTTTTTGACTTTTGTTCCTATTAAAGTAAAGAGTTATAAATTTTGTTCCTCAAAAAGGAACATAAGTAATCTATGAAATTTTATATATTAAATACTTTAGAGACCTATCATTATATATAATATATTTTACTTACTTATAAAAATCTGATCTTTTTGTGATCAGCTTAGTTAATATTGATAGCTCATCATTGATTAACTTGATGAGAAAGCTATTGTCTTATAAGCTTTTAAAAGAGATATTTTACATATACTCATTCTTTAAATGTTTCTATACTAGGTCCTATGTATATCTATGCTAGTCTTGAATTTGCTGGTTTAGTACTTTTTTGATAAGAGCATCTGCTTCTTCATTGTACTGAATGTTAGAATATATATTAACCTTAATAAACTTGAGATTTAGCTTTTTTTTCTTTACAAGATCCAATATTCATGTCCATAAAGATCAGTTTTATTCTTTTAACCATTTTTTGTGGATTATTCTGGGGTCCTTCTTTTCTATAGTTTTTCACTTTAAAATATAGGCTTAACTATCTGTATGGATCTTGACCTTGCTGTCTACCAGAGCTATTAGAAATATAGTTATTATTGCTATTAATTCTGCTTTAGTGGATGAAGACCAATTAACTACTTCAGTTTGGAACTTGCTTTTATTTTTTGTTTTTTTTTATCTATATTCATGTTGCTTCTATCTTTTTATTTATACTTTCATAATTTATAAGAGATCTGTCAGAGTAAAAGATTATTGATTTTTTTTTTTATTATTATATTTAAGTATTTCAATCAGATGGAATTGATAAGCACTTTCTTTTATATAATCTTTAATAATATTTGTTTTTCAATTCTTTACTTCAACCTGTAATTCTCTTTTATTCAGAGTGATTACTTGATTACTATATATTGTTTTATATATAATTTCTTTTAATGTTTTTTTGGGACTTGAAATTTCCAGTAATTAAATTCTTCTAATTAATATATTTGCATTGAGATATGAAACTATATGTATTTTTCCTATACTTGTTTCATCTATATATTGGTCAACTATTATTGTACCTTCTGTGCATCTCTGATATCAAATTAGTTTTGATTTTTGATTCTTGAAGGGGTTGACACATTCGAAGTGTTCTATTTTAATGTGTTTTCTAGTATCATCTAAAATCAATTTTTTTTACATTACCTGTTACTATGGAAACTTGCTTTCTGTGATTACCCAGAGTTTCTATTATTTGTCAAAATTAAAGTTGAGAGTAGGATATTTTGAATCATATTTTATCTATTCTATTTTATAAGCTGTTTTAGTTTGTTTTTCTACATTATCTCAGTTATAGATTAGTATCATCTTAGAATAAGTTCTTTTTTTATTTTTTGTAAAAGTTGAAGCATTAGCCAATTTCTTATTTCTCTTGTTTTATAGTCAACTAGTTAATCTATATATATTAACTTGTTATTTCTAAGTAATAAAATAGCTTTTCAATACTTTTATATCGACAAATATTCTTTGATTAGACTATTTCCCTGGTTCTATTCAAAAATATCATTTTATTTTTAGCTTTGAAAAGTGATAGCTATGTCCTTGATTAGCTTTAGTACTTGTAATATAAAGTTACCTCTTCTTGAAAGATAATTCAATAAATTATAATTAAGAGGTTGTCAGGCTCCCAGTATTTGACCTATACTTGCTTGAGTCTAATAATAATTGTGATTATAGCTGATCCTAAATTATTTAATCTATTGTCCAGTTCTATTATTTGAATTTCTTTTTGTAACATCCAAATATTTTTTAAGTTATAAATTTTGGAATGGTGTATTATACTGTTAAGTATTGATTAACATAGTATAATCTTATTTTTGAATAATTTTTTATATGCAATTGTTAAAGTGTTACATATCTTCTAAGACAATATGTTGTATTGCATTCTGAATTCAATTCTTGATATTGGTACTCTATTCAAAATATAAAAAATTTGTTTATCGGTTAGCTTTTTATTTTTTAGAGCTTTGATAATCACATTGATTTTCTTGAGCACCTGTTCTTTAGACTCAATAGTTATTTTTTAATTGCCTGTCCAGATTCTCAAAAATCTTGCTTGTTCAGTTCTATCCAGTTCTCTAACTATTTCTTTATTGATTCCTGCTTATATCTTTATTTTTTATTATATTTATATGAATATACTGTATATATGATTATAGATTATTGTATATATTTTAATACTTTTCATTTGAGAAATAAATAATATAATAGATATGTTTTAAATAAATTTAATATTTAGAAATAGGATTTTAACAAATTATTAATCTAATTATTGATTTATTGATTTATATTTTATACTAATAATTAGGATTTAAAATTTTAAATAATCAATCAAACATTAGTTTAATTTTTGAACTAAATCAGTTTTAGCTGATAAGTTATATCAATTTTTAAATAATACATATTATATTAATAAAACAATTATTAATAAATATTTTTCAGATAAACTCTCATATTTAAAAAAATTAAATTTAGAGATATTTACTGAAATATTAGATCTATTAGTTAAATATTATAAAGTATTTTATAAAATTATAGACTTTCAAAGGCCTTTACAAAAAATTATAAAAATTCAATAATTATTTGAAACAAAATAAATCAATATAATAGATTCTGAATTAAAAGTGAAATATTTAATTTTGTTATATTCTCATGAAATATTAAAAGCTTATTTATATTAGCTTAATTTATAAATCATAATGAAAGTATCAATTTTTATCTGAAACAAAATTAATTCTTTTTTATATATTTAGTAAACTTTTTGAATAATATTATTAAATAACAATTGATCTTTATTCAGTAATACAAACTAGTTAATTTAACAGAAAATAGATTTTATTTCAGATCAAAAATAATATGAATATTGAATTGTGAAGTATTAAATTTTATTTAGTTAAACATGAATACATAATCTTTATTCATAATATTTTTGACTGATTTATTTTATTTAGATATAGAATCTCAAATTGACAAAACTCTTTTGAATATTTATAATTAAAAATTTAGCAAATATATGAATTTTTATAATTGATATAAACTACTCAATAAACATGTGCTATTAGTACTTTCATCAAAAAAAAAAAAAAAAAAGCAAATATATGAATTTTGATTAAATTGAATGTTTAATGATTTTTTGAAAAATTTTTTAATGAAATATAGTATATAGTAAAAATAATATAAATTATATGACAAATAATGCTAAATTATATAGTAGAAATTGATTAATATTATATAAGTGATATTATATCAAATAAATATTTTTTAACTAGTGTAATAAAAAAAAACTAGAGAAGCTTAATAAGTATATTTCTGTATTAACAAAATAGATTTTAAAAACTAGTTAAAATACTTTAAACTTCTATATAAATTTCATAAAAAATTTTATCTTGAAAATAGTAGATTTGAAATATCATGAAAAAAAAAAAAAAAAAAAAAAGCAAAAGGATAAATAATAAAGATACAAAAAAAAAAAAAAATTTATTATTAAGTATATAAAAGAATATAACCATAATATATTGTATAGTATTAGAAAATAATTAAATAAAAATATATACAAGAATCTATAAAAAAGATAAAATAAAAGAATTTTCAAATTATCTTTTAAGTCAGATATTTATATTTCTAACAAGAAGAATATTACTACTAGAAAAAAGAATTTTAAAAAACAAAAGTTTAAAAAAAATCTCAATGAAAAGATTAGATATACAGTAAAATAAAATAATTAGAATTTTGAATTCTATTAGAATCTTGTATAGTGATTTACAATAATAATCTTTAAATAATAATATTAATAGTTGAAAAAAAGAATCCTTATCTGAACTACTAATGAAACAATAAATCACTTTCAATTATACTTAGAATTTTAGAAAAATATAAAATAGAGATTTAAGTAGAAATTTAACTTTAATGAAATATTTTATAAAATATAATGTAAAATATTTAATAAAACATACATACCTAATCTGACAAAGGATTTAAAAAAAAAAATAAAATAGAATTTGATTCAATTAATCAGTACTTGGAAAAATTTTTTAAAAAAACAAACAAATTATTAATTGTTTAAAAAATATAAATAATTTTAATACAACTTTTACCATGAATAAATATATACTTATGTATTCTATTGATTAATAAAACCTGGCTGTGGATCATGCGTAAAATAAAATAAAATAAAATATCATTACGTTTTCTAATTCAGTAATTGTAATCTCATAAGGTTATATCAACTCATGGGTCGCCAGCTTGCATGAATATTATGATAAATAGGACGACAATTGATTGAAATAATGGAGCTCAGCGAACATCTCATGAAAAGGATTTTATCCTGATGACCTTTGTAATAAAACCAAGACGAACGAAATATGTCCATAATACCCTATAGTGAATGACTTAAGCACAAATGTTAAAAAAAAGATTAATCTTACTTCCACATATCTCGTAAGAGGGATGTATTTTTTTTCACCATGTCCCTCAAACGATGTTCTAATATCTTTTCCTCACGCTTGGCATTTGCTAACTGTCGTTCAAGATCTTTTATACGAACATCGTTTGAACCATTCTCAGTATTGCTAAAATTGTTGGTATTAAAAGAATTATTCCAAAAATTTGTAACACCGTTCAAATTCAGGAAATCCGAGGAATTATTGTTTGAAAAACTAAATAGGGAAGAGGATAAAGAAGTTGATAAATTGAAGATAGGAGATGTGCTGAAGTTAAAGTCTTTGGAAAGTAGATCTGCAAATAAAAATTCAGAGGTAGGTGTTTGTAGGTCTGAGGAAGTTCCAGTCGCAGGACTAAAGGTCGAATAATCATTTGGGTCTTCATCATTAAAGTCGGATGGAATTCCTGCCTTTTTATCAGTGGATAGAGATTCAGTTTCGTTCGTAGATAAATCTTCCTTCTCACTTCCAAGTTCATTTAGACATTCCTCTGCATTAGTAATGTCTCCGACCGTCCTTTGTGATGCACCATTAGAGGTTTTGATGCTATCTTTTCTCAACCTACTTATAAGAGACACATTGTCGTCGTTTTTTTGAACATCTTTATATTTCGTATTATTTGTGAAAGGATGTTTGCCGTTAGAATTAGCTTGCTTCTTTGACTGTCTACGCTTACATTTTGGACGAGGTGTAATAGATGGCATAGAATCCGGACCCATAGGAACCGACTTCTTTGCGATGTTTCTATTTAGAGGTTGCCTGGACGGAATGTTGACGGATTTAATTTTTTGGGAATTATCTCTGCTATTTGATTTTATATTAATATCCTTTGCGGGCGCGAGCATTAAAGCGTGATTGGTGTTCGAAGAATCACCAATTTCCTCATTTTTCCTTTTACATACGGCATCTTTGTCAGGAGCTACCACCACGCTGACGGTCTGATCTGTTTCCTTTCCAATTTCATTGATTCGTTCCGAAAGAGCGGATGTTTGTATTTCTTTTGGCTCTTCATTTATGCCTATAGGGTAGCCAGTCAATCCAGAATTTTTTTCGGACAAAAGAAGGCAATTCGATTTACGGGGTTACTATGTTGGACTTTTATATATATTTATCACATAACCTCCAAAAAGAAAATGTAGTGTATACAAAAATAAAAATGATGTAATGGAGGAACATTCCCAAAAGAAAAGATAAATGCAAAAAACTCAATTCAATTATATAAAATTACCCACAAAAAATCATGATTCAATGCACTGTTGCTTTTTTTTTTTTTTGGCTTCATCTTTTATTTTTCTTAATATTAGGGATTAATAACCCCGACCACTAAGCATTGAAGAAAACCCACCTGCATCCACACTACCCAATCCGATTCCTACACCGAACCCACTACTAATTTGTTCGTCACCCGTTCTTGCTACCCGCTCAAAAACACTTAAACGATGGCTCCCTACATTTTGCATTGGTTGAAATTGCTGTTGTGGCATAACTGGTGCACCTGGTGCCCTGTATGCATTATCAGCTTGAGATATTCGAACAGACATTATAGCCGGATCTTGGAGAATATTAGGTAAAGATTCCGCTAAAATAAATAAATATAAAAAAAAAAAAAAAAAAAATTAAATTAAATTAAATGAAGGCATAGAAAAAAATGACAAACTAGTTACGGAGTAAAAAATGATGATAAACCTTCGTTAGGTAAGTCTTCATGAGCATTTGAGTTAACCGATGCTGCTTTTAGGAAAGCTCCAAAGAAATCCTGAGCATCGTCTCTGGATTGCCGCGTTATGCCTGGTATAAATGGCTGACTTTGGTGTGAAGGTGGATGGGTGGGCTGTCGTGATACATATTCTTCATCAATATCCCAAGGAGCGTTTTGTGGGTTCCAACCGGTTATTCCATAATCAACTCGAGGAGTTTGAGTATAAATTCCCGGAGGCGGTGATTTTATTGACGTAGTAACATTATTTCCATTCAATTGCTGATGTTGCATTAATATATTTTGATGGTAATTGTGGTCCAAACCTGTAGAAGAGTTTGCGTTAAGGAGTGATTGAGCTTGATTAATACCAGAAATAGGAACACCCGGGGGTAAAGTACGACGCAGTGGCGCAAAAGTGGAAGAATCATTTGATGTATTCCACATGGCTTCTTGATGCACATCACTCGGTCCAAAACTTATATTGACATTAGGAAATAGTGCTCGAAATCCTTCTTGTAAATCTTTTGTGGCCAAAGGATCGCTTAAGCGTAAAGGAGAGAAATTACCATCTTCCTGAGCAAAACCGAATCTAGACGAATTGCGTGATTTGACGGAATTTGAAATCGCTTGTGAATTTATTCCACTTTCATTCGAATAAATTTCTGGTATGCTACTGTTTCCAAGGGAAGGAACACCGAGAACACTCAAATGCTGATTTTCTGTGGTAAAAGGATCAAATTTATCATCATCAGATGCAAATGGGTTGAATGGACCAGTGTATGAGATAGGTTGTTGAACAAATTCGGAAGCCGATTTAGAAATGTCCGACATAGGGAAACCGACACCTGGCGGCGGAGATACTACACGCGAAGCACCAACTATACCGTTGTCCGGAACAACTGAAATTTTCTTGTGCTTTTCTTCAGGAAGAACTGAATTGTTCAATAATGGTGCATTAAAGGAGAAAGAAAAGGATCCATCGCTAAGCGCAGACAATGTTTGATCGAAATCGGCAGTTATATCCGACTGTTTGATTGAATGTGGCGACGATTTATCATTCAACTGTTGTGAATGAGGTTCTGGTAGACCCTTTTTATCTGCGGATTTTTCTTTATTGGATTCGACAGTTAATTGTTGCGGTTGTTCCCTTTCCGCATTTTGCTCTATATCATTGCTGTTTGGAATTGAAGCGGGCATTGGTGATAAATCGGTTTTTTTAATCGCTTTTGTGCCCAGCGGTTGTGCATCTGTAGAGACCAAACGTTTTGATTTTTGTTCTTGAATTACTGAAGGTTGCAACGGTGGTGGTGATGATTGCTGCGAATGTGAATTACTTAAGGTTGTATTTTGTGAAGATTGTGTTATTTGTGAAAATGAAGATTGCGATAGAGATAATTGTTGATTATGTAATATGGGCGTTGTCTCCGTGCTTGGTGGTTTATTAGCCCAAGAAGCTGTCGGAGGTAGGGCCGAAGCTGTTACCAAATAAGTAGAGTTAATAATGATTGATAAATACAATATAAGTTTTATATTTAGATTTAGTGTGCTAATCACAATACCTTCTTCTCTTTCGTCATTACTTCCTTTGTCAGTTTCCGATCCGTGCGTCCGGTGTGAAGGAGGAGCATCAGCATTCTTTTTAGAATTTGAGGTTACGGTATGTGAAGTTGTGGGATGTGATGGTGGTACGGTATGTGAAGTTGTGGGATGTGAAGTTGTGGGATGCGACGGTGGATTAGCATGTGGTGGAAATACACTATTAGGTGGTCCGGATGAGGGTGGCCTTCCCAATTGATGGAGCTTATGTGGTTCGGTGGTACTTGCATGTTCTTTGAGATGATATTTACTACAGAAAATAATTATGTTGACTATATTTTTTTTTTTCGACATTAATTTCGTCTAGAAATAAACCTACACAGAAGCCAAATCTTCCTTTGTAAAACTGTCTGCTTCTTCACCAGGTTCATGTAGATACATGCAGTTCGGATTCTGACAGACCATGTTACGTAAATAATATGTACAATACTTTGTAGTACCGTATGATGCCCTGCGATAAAAGTGTTAATATATTAAGCAGATCAAGGATATTAAAAATTTCATTTTATTATATTGTTATTATATAATAAATTAAACCTCAGCACTTTGCCATCCGACATGCTGCCATCCACCGCAGCTATCGCCCTTGCTGCATCTTCTTTTCGCACGTATGTGATATAAACACCGACGCTGGGTTGAGGTGGTGGTGCACCAGGAACAGTCGAGGGCGGTGGATTTCGACGGTTGACGACAATTTTTGCGATCTTGCCGTATTGACCAAAATAATCATGCGACCGAAGTATCTTTAAGAACAACGCGAGTTGAGTGCGGGTTTGATAATTCAATAACTACTGCATTCATCAAACATGGAGAAAAGGCGATATTTGTAATCATCGCCTACCTCCTCATTCGCAATCTTCGGGCTAAGGCCAATCACGTAAACTAGGTTCTTTTGCACCACTCTCATATTTGATAGATGTTTCCTGTTCATTGCTTCAAGTTCTTTTTTTTCCCGTTCCTTTTGTTTCTTCTCATTCTTAATCCGTGCTAGCCTGCATCACAGATATTTATTAACAAAACGAACATAAGAATAAATGAATATGAGGTATATTATTTAGAAAAATGGTGTAATATGTATATTTAATCTTTCTTCTATAATCCCAGTTGGTGACAAGACTAAAGCGCTACAAATGAGAACTTCTGAAAAAATAGAATAAAAGTATCCAATAAAGTACTATATGACAAAAACTTCAACATACTCTTCAGGCGATATCGGTTTAAATTCAATGGTCTGTTCAGAATACACCCTACGACAAGCAGGACAACGGCCATTCATATTCTCTTGAATATGATTCCAGCAAAATCGACAGATCTAAAAGAATTAGAGTTTGATTTTATTAAAAATTAAAAGGCACTCCAAACGATAATAAGAATGTGAAATATATTCAATTGGCAAATATTAAATAATCATTATCTCTTAAAGGGAAGAAGAGAATGTATAAATCTCACCTGGTAACCGCAAGGGCATGGTCTGAAATTCCTGTCTGACAGATCCATCTCCTCCATGCACAGAGGACACTGAAATTCTTCCTCATCGGAATAATACTCAGTTTTGGACATTATTATAAGCGTCTTCGTTGTATCTGTAAGGCAATTTTCTGGTTGATGTACTCACTCCAAGAACGCGGGAAGGAAACAGTTGACCAAATTTCAGGAAAAAAAAAAAAAAAAAGTAAAAGAAACCGGGTACTTCTTAAGGTGTCTATTTAAGAGTTGATAAAGTCTTTAAGGTATACACGTGGATATTTCTTCCTTAATAAAGGTAAGCGGAATATAATATCAGTCAAAGGCTGGAAAAGTTTCAACGGTAATTAATATAGTGGTTAATATAAGAAAGGTACCTGAATACTTTGAAAAGCAAAAAGGAAAAAAAAAAGGGTATTGGACAAATTCCCTATAACACAAGTCCGTGAAAATTTTTATACGTAATCTACACTCGCTAAATGACCTACTTCAGTAGGCAACAGTATAATATACGTAGTTCATTAAATCTTTTTAACGAAATTTTTGTCTTTTTCGTAATAATATCTAATAAGTCTAGTATATTTTAAACTCATCCATTATCTTTATTAATATTACAAAAAAAAATATTATTCATTTACTAATTTAAATATATAAATTGTGCTTTAATGAAACAAATATAAAAAAATCCTTTATAGTTAAAAAGGTAAGTAATAAAATAGAATTTTTATGAAAAAAAAAAATATTAAATTAATTTATTATACAGTACGTAAATTTAAAAGAGCTTAATATCATTTTCTTAGACTTTTAATTAGGTCAATATTAATTAATATCTAATTATTAGATAAGATAATAAGAAAATGAAGGTAATTTGTTTTAAATATTTGTTTTATATTTTTGAAAAATTTATATAAATATTATTATTATTATTATTATTTAAACCTTCTATCAAGCTTTATTTAATATTTGTATACTTTATATTGGAAAATATATCACTAAAGTTAAATTTTTATCTAACTCACTCATCAATATTTTAAAATTCATCAAAACTCTAAGTATAATTTCAGAGGTGATTTATTATTTCATTAGTAATTTAGATAAAAATTCTTCTAATTATTAACTTTATTGCTTACAAGTCACTATTACAAATCACTCTATGATGTTTTGACAAAGCTCAAAATTCAATTACTTTATTCTATACTTTACTATTTTTGTTAGAATTTTTTGAAAACTTTTATCCTTTTCTAGATTTTCTTTTTCTGATAGTAGTTTTTTTCTCCTAGAAAACATAATTTTCTGATCTACAAAATTTGAAGATTTTTTTATCTTATTTGTTATATTAATTTTTTATATCTATTTCTATTTGATTATCAAAAGCACATACTCTTTCTGTTGATCCTTTAATTATATACAAAAAAATGTTCACAAGAAGTTTTTATACTTCTGAGCTAATAAAGTCTTAATACCTTTCTTAAATCAACTTGAAGAAGCTTCAAGAGTCATTAACTACTTCCCCTCCTCTTGCTTACCATTTTCTTCAAACAAAAACTTGATCTCTAGTAACCATAAAAATCAAAAAACAATTTTCTAATCAATGGTAAGAAAGTTCTGAAAAGAAGAAGAACTAATGTGTCATCATTTCATACCATAAACACTAGTCGAAATTATGTCATTCGGCAGCTGAATTATTACCGAATTTGATTAAATTTAATAATAAAAATATTGTCGAATTCTTTTTGATTGCTGCCACTTGGCATATTACATTTTGGCAATAAAGTGGCAATCAAAAATTCGGCAATCAAAAATTTGACAATCAAAAAATTGGCAATCAAAAAATCGACAATCAAAAATTCGGCAATCAAAAATTCGACAATCAAAAATTTAACAATCAAAAAATTCGGCAATCAAAAATTTATTAATTAAAAGTTTAACAAAAAATTCGTCAAAAATTCAATAACTAT